AATCTCACCAGACTAAACCTATGCTAAAGCAACTAGTAGCTATAACCCATGAGACTCTAGGGAGGGGTCAGCCTCATCTTCTTCATCTTCCCACACCCTTGCTGCGGGCTGAGGAGGCGCTTCCCTGGAATGTCTCTCCCCCTTCCTGACAACCATGAAGTTCCATTCCAGAATCTTCCCTGCTCATGCCATCCATTACAACTTCAACAAATTAGCAATATTCCACCTTTTCCCTTGCATATTTTATTTATTTACAGGTAGTCCTTGACTTACAACCATTTGTTTAGCGATCATTCAAAGTTATGATGGTGCTGAAAACAGTGACTTATGACCGGTCGTTACACTTACGACTATTGCAGCATCCCCATGGTCATGTGATCAAAATTTGGACACTTGGCAACTGGCATGTATTTACAATGATTACAGCGTCCCAGGGTCATATGATTGTCATTTGTGACCTTCTCAGCTGGCCTCCGACAAGCAAAATCAACAGGGAACCACATGATTCACTTAATGACTGTGTGATTCACTTAACGACCATGTGAATCACTTAACAACTACCACAAAAATGTTGTAAAAGTTGAGTTGTTAATTGATGAGGGAGGGAGAGGACCAACAGCCAATCCCTGAATCCACCATACTATTCCAAAAAGTAAACTTTCCCCTAGTTCTCAGGAAATTCTGCAAAATCTTAGGCTGGAAAGACCCAGGCTTCCCAGTCTTATAGGCCCCTACTGGGTCTGCTTGTGTTACTTGTCTTCCTGGTGGCTAGTTTACTCTGTCTTTTGTGCCTTCCCTTTTCCAAAGCATTCAAGAAACCCCTTGAGGCTGAATGAGATGCTCCAGAGGCTATGAGGGGTGGCTTCTCTCTGACTAACAAACCCTATATGTTCCTCAGGCAGCCTTAGATCTGGGTTATGATTTATGGTTAAACCAGAATTTTGGTTTATTGTGATATAGGCAGTCCTTGTTTAGCAACTACCTCATTTAGCAATCATTGGCAGTTAAGACGGTGATGAAAAAGTAACTTTACAACCAGTCCTTGCGTTTACAACCTTCATCGGTCTGTAAAGCAAAGGAAAGCTGAAGTAAGATCATAAGCACAGTTGCAGTTTCACTTAGCAACCGCTTCACTTAACAACCAATTTGCCAGTTCAGTTGTGGTTGCTAAACAAGGACTACCTGTATATAAATTTGGTCTTTATTTAGAAAATTGTTTTCAAATTGTTGTGGCAGTACCATATTTTTCCCATAAATATAAAAGGAATATATTTAAAGTCACCAGCTATAAAAATCATCCATGAAATGTTTGACAGAATGTTATTCTAAACATCATGGTGAAGGCAATAAAAAAAAAAATATATACAATGGAATGAAGTGTTTTGCTTCCACTTACAAAC